CCCAGTGGGCCTTCTGTGTAGACCCTGCTGAAGCAGCAGCAGCAGCAACTGCTGCTGCTGCTGCTGCTGCACCGCTGCTGCTGCTGCTGCTGCTGCTGCTGCACTGCCCACTGCGTTTGGGAGTAGAAGCAAAGAAGAGAGGCCTCCGAGGAGAGTCTAAAGCTCCCCCCTTTTGTTCTGGCCCCGCAGAATCCTCCATGGTGAAGGGCGAAATGTTGCACAGCGAAGTCAACAAACTGTTCACCAACGCGGGGGTGTTTCCCGCGCCCTGCATAAACCCTAAACCCTAAACCCTAAACCCTAAACCCTAAACCCTAAACCCTAAACCCTAAACCCTAAACCCCCCTAAACCCTAAACCCTAAACCCTAAACCCTAAACCCTAAAACCCTAAACCCTAAACCCTAAACCCTAAAGAAGGGCGAAATGTTGCACAGCGAAGTCAACAAACTGTTCACCAACGCGGGGGTGTTTCCCGCGCCCTGCACAAAACCCTAAACCCTAAACCCTAAACCCTAAACCCTAAACCCTAAACCCTAAACCCTAAACCCTAGGCCCTAAACGGCGCTGGCAGCCGAAGGCGCTGCACAGTTTAAGCCCACTGGAAGAAGGCTTGGGTCTTAGGTCACCAGCAGCAACAGCAGCAGCAGCAGCAGCACGAAGCTCTGTGCTGCTGCCGTTGCTGCTGCTGCTGCTGCTGTTGCTGCTGCTGCTGCTGCTGTTGCTGCTGCTGCTGTTCTTGCTGCTGCTGCCTCCGAAGCCGCTGCAGCTGCTGCAGCCCTGTCCTCGCGTTTCAAGGCGGCAGAGCCTCAGCAGAGCCCCAACTGCGTGCCGCCCAAACCCTAAACCCTAAACCCTAAACCCTAAACCCTAAACCACCGCCGAGCCCCGCGTGAGACCGCGGCAAGAGGGGCCCCCAGTGTCTGCTGCTGTGGGGGGCCCCCAGCGGAAGCAAAAAAGCAAAAGTGGTTTAAAAATGGAGGAAAATAAAAAAGGGTTTTTAAAGAAGGTTCAGGAGTGGTGTCTGTACACCCCAAGCTGCTGCAGCAGCAGCAGCAGCAGCAGCAAAACCCCTTCGATTTAAACAAAACAAATAGTTGTTGCTGCTCTTCAAGTGTACGTACACCTCGAATTACAGAGGCAGCAGCAGCAAACCCTAAACCCTAAACCCTAAACCCTAGGGGGCCCCCAGGGGGCCCGCAACCGCAACACCAGGGGCCCCCTGCTGCCCCCGGGGGCCCCTGCAGCAGCAAAAAGTGAATGCAGCAAATTTGCTGCTGCTAATCTGGAAGAAAGTTGCAGTTCAGGGGGCCCCAGACCCTAAACCCTAAACCCTAAACCCTAATCCCTAAACCCTAAACCCTAAACCGCCGGGTCGCTCTGGGGGTTTGCTGCTCTTTCAAGGAAAAAGAAATCAGCAGCAGCGCATGCAGCTTTGCTGCAGTTTTACTATTTGGCCCACTTGCTTATACTCTGTTCTGTCGAGGGTTTAGGGTTTAGGGTTTAGGGTTTACGGTGCTCGCAGCCCGCTGCACCTAATCGGCTGCGCCTATTTACGCACAACTGACGTATTTAGGCAAATAAATGTTTATCCACTTGATTAGGGTTTAGGGTTTAGGGTTTAGGGTTTAGGACGGGAGGTTTGCTGCTGCTGCTGCACCACAGCCCACTCAGGTGCTGCAGCGGCAGCTGCCAGCCCGAAGCCCTAAACCCTAAACCCTAAACCCTAAACCCTAAATAACGACCGGTGGATCTTCAGCCCCCAAACCCTAACCCTAATAAGCCTAAAACCCCAAACCCTAGGCCCCGAACTCTAGGCCCCAAACCCTAAACCCTAAACTCCACGCTCGAAACCCTAAACCCTAGAAGCTGCAGCAGGTACGGGGCCTTCCGTCCTTATTAAGAAAAACCCTAAACCCTAAACCCTAGAAGCTCCTTTGCTGCTGCTGCAGCAAAGCCCCCAGAAAACCCCCAGGCCTGTGGACTCGGCGGCCCCTGCTGCCAAACCCTAAACCCTAAACCCTAAACCCTAATTGCAGGTCCAGGCAGCTGCACTCCTCGTGCTCGAGCGCCGCCAACCCTAAACCCTAAACCCTAAAACCCTCAAACCCTAAACCCTCAAAACCCTAAACCCTAAACCCTAGGACCCTTTTGGTCTAAAGCGAGTGCCCGAAGCGGCTCCCAAAGCCTGAATCTCAGGTGTACGTACACCTGAACAGCAGCACTAAATGCTTGCTGGGGGCCCCCCGGGGGCCCCGGGGGCCCCGGGGGCCCCGGGGGCCCCGGGGGCCCCCGGAGAGCCTGAGGCCTCGGGGGGCCCCCGGGGGCCCCCCGGGGCCCCCAAAGCACTTCGGGGGGACCCCAGGGGCCCCCCGCTAGCCCCTGTGGGGCTTCTCTGGCCCTCAGGGGAGTCCTCTAGGGGCCCCCCGGGGGCCCCTCCCCCCAGGGGGGCCCCCCCGAGGGCCCCCCCCGCGAGGGGGCCCCCCGCAAGGGCCCCCCCGC